AAGAGCAGATACGGCTTGTTCTAGAATACTGTTCTCACATATGGGGTTCAGCACCGAAACATACGCTGATGCTCTCAGATTCCATCCAGAAAAGAGCCATCCGCCTGGTGGGTGACGCCACACTCACTCACTCTTTGACATCATTGGAACACCGTAGAAAGGTCGGCGACCTTTCACTTTTCTATCGATACTTCCACGGGAAATGTGCTTCGGAAATCTCTGCTATCATCCCTCCACTAGCAATACCAGTCAGACGAACTAGACAAGCCCAGTCAGCACATCCTTTCGTTGTCAACCTCGAAAGATGTCGAACAGCACTTTATCAAAACTCCTTCATCCATAGAACGACTAGGCTCTGGAATTCATTGCCTGAGGAAGTATTCCCAACATATAACCTACAGAAGTTCAAAAAAAAATCCAATACCTACCTCCTATCACTATCCTCCCTAGGACCGCACGATGTTCTCTGAACATTATAGGGATTCCCTTTCGTGCGCTCCAAGCGATAAAAAAAATGGTCGACAGCTTTGAGGAATACCTGAGCTCGCATTCTGGTCTGTGGTGTCAATAAAGCTTTAGTGTCAGCTTCTTCAAGAGCCAGTTCCCTCCTACGTGTTCTGACCTCCTTATATAGTTAAGTTCTCTCGAGGGAAATTGTGCCTCTTTTTCGTAAAAATTGAACTTTACCCGCAAACATTCATAATACTTCCTCAATGAAATATATAAACTGAGACACGTGTCCAGGCCTATGCTTGAGTTTTGCAGAACACAGTATACATATACAACAACACAAATACAAGATGTTGTGGTATCTGCTATATTACATTACAGCTTGCAACAAACACAAATCGCACTTTCAATTTCAATATTCATCATCGTTAATGTTTTAGTTATTGTTTGTTTATATCGTGCGGAAAAGTTGCTTTCTCGCACAATTTTTTTATTGTTGAAAATAAGGATATTTAGGACTAACTAAATGATCCATGTAACTATCTTGTATTATGTGTCATTTTGTAGCATCATTATAAAATATTGTTAATTGATAACCTTTTTTTATGAATAATATGGACCAGAACACTCGTAGGAAAAACTTTGTACCTAACTCCTGCGGAAAATATGTCTTTTCCGCCCTTGACGACTTGCCGTCGCGTGCGTAAAAGTACTATTTTCCGCACTTGTTCGGTAAAATAGTTATTTATTATACAAGGGAAAAAAGTAGTAGATTTTAGCTCCAGGTTGTGTTGTCTCCCGACGCGTAGCGGAGGGAGACAAAAAACCGTGAGCTAAAATCTAATATTTTTCCCGTGTATAATACACTATTTTTTTCTGTGACAGAAGGAAGGACGATCAATATTGAGAAGATATTACATTATTTCGAAATCTGAAAATTATCGACGTGAAATTTCAAGTTTTTAACAGTAGGGACACCTGCGTTTTATAGACATCTTTATCATTCTTTTGAAGTAATCAAATATCTGATGTCACTTCTGTCAGTTCAATTCTGTGATTCGATTTTGAAAAATTGCGAATTCAGTAGTTGTTTAGTAATATACGAAACCGCGAAGTCGAATGGAAGATAAAAGGACTTGCAGTTCTTTCTCGGAGACGGTATTATTGACTCATATTTCGGAACTATAGCACAACAAAAGCCATTAACAGAGTATATATATGTGATATATATCCGGGAAAGAAGTACTCACTTTTTGCCCACGGGAAAAAAGTAATTTATGAAAAGTGACATTTTATAACCTGCCAACAGAGATGAAATGCCAAACTTTTTTCCCGTCACAGAAAAAAACTATTTTTCGTGAAAAATAAAATCTATGCACCACGAGCGTTACTAGATCCTAAAGCCCGGAAGGTATAACATTCACCCGAGGGCCTGGTATATGAATAACTATCAAACTGATTTTAGAGGAAAGTCAAATCATGGAATTATCCCATTTCGATACAGTAAATCAGTGTTTCCCAAAGTCATATGGAGTGCAACCATTTTTGTTGAACAAATTTTTCACGACCCCCTTATATTTTCCTCTACGTATCATCCAAACCAAAATATAGCGATAAAAATAGCGTACCTACCTAATTCACAATTAACTGATAATTTCTCAAATTCCATTCAACTTTACTATCAAAGTTCGACAATGGGTTGCATGCAAAAACTGTCAGATGACACAACCTCACTTTTCTTATTTGTTTTCAAGTGATTGAAATAGTTTTTCACAATTAATTTGGTATACGAATCGTATTTTTTTGGTATTCATTAATTCGCTCATGCCATCACATTGTGCTGTTGTACAATGCACAAAAATTGCAGCAGAAGACTAAGGAATCCTGTTGGTACATTATGTTTCAAAAGTAAGTAGGTACCTACTATAGTCACTCGCACATATAGTTTTCATTTTTGAAATTTGGTAATTTCTCTGATTTCTCATCGGAATTCCTTCTGCAATAGGAGCTGATAGAAATGCACATGAAATTTCTAAAATAATGCAAGATTGGATTCATGCAATCAAACGGGAGGACTGGTCTGACATGCTGACGAAATATGATCGTGTGTGTTGTAGGCATTTTCAATCTATTAGCTGTATTAGCTTGTATTGCAGAAGTGGCAGAAGGAATTTCAAAATAAGGAATGACAACATCTCATAATAATCACTATTTACCTGAAAAATCATATTCCTTCGTCTCTTGCTGCATTTTTTGTGCATTGTACAACAGCACAATGCGAAGGCATGCTTGAATTAATGAATAGCGCAAGAAACACGATTCGTCTGCCATAATATTGTGAAAAACTATTATTGTGATATGTCCCGAGTGGGTCACGAGTCAAATTTTAGGAAACAATGCACTGAAATGTATTTACATGTAAATGTTAATTATTTTTCAGGTGAAATATCGTCAACGTGAAGTCGAGTTCCAAACAGGGATGCCTAGAAGAACGAAACATAGTTTTTTTTATACATATTAAGGATATGATACGCAAAATATAATTATAAAAATAAATATTTAATGCTCTAGGTAAGTTTCTTGACTTGTCATTGATGAACCCTAATCCCACTGTAATTAAAAACATGCAGTATTTCAGAATGTTTTTCGCTTCAACATTGCTATTGACTATGTTATCGCAAAAAGAAATCCAGAGCCGGACTTGGAATTTTAGACGTCAAAATGTTTACCTTCTGTGGATCGTATTCTACAAAAACCATTATCCTACTCAGAAAAATCAGGGAAAACGCTTCAAGTGTGGCTCTTCAATTTGTACGGCACAATTTGACCGATTTGGTAAAAATATAATCAAACAGAATTCTGATGAATGTTTCTTCGAATTCGTCCTGGCACACTACCTACTTTTACATTCGACCAAGAGTCTTCAAATCCTTTTTTTTTTGCTTATTGATATAGCAGCAGAGAGTTGAGAAAAGCTATTATCATATGTAATACCACAAGTGACAATATTTTGCCGGAAATATTCGGTGATTGTTACGACAGCTTGTTGCATAGTAATTCCGTGAATGACATTGTTATCAAAACTACGATCCGTAGGCGAGTAGTTTTGAATCAATGTCATGAGCGAAATTAGAGCAGCAAGCTGGAGTATGTCAATCGACGAATATTTCCAGGAAAAATAGTATCACGAGTTGTATTCGTATGCGTATGACTATTTCATGATTGAATGAGACAATATATATCTATCAGAAATAGGAAACCTAATTCAAGTATATTCCAACTCAAACTGCGAAGAAGAACATAATGATAGTAATGTAATACAGAATTCAATTTTTTCGAAATCAACTACCTACTTATAGTTATTCACAAAGTGAAATGTACAATTATTTTGATAAACAGTATTTTTTTATTATCTTGGAGATGTTTGCTCTCAAAAGAGTGTATACAATTGCTATCCAATTCAAACAAAACAATTGAATTTATGTGACATCAAATAATTAAATCGTCGCCGAGGGGCTCGAACCACCGACCTTCCTATCTTCGCGCAACAACCCTATCAGTTGCGCTACCTACATCATTTGGTAATTACATCAGTCACAATAACTTGAGTGATTGAAGAAGATTACTAGACCGATTGAGACCGTCAACAAATATGCAAACTTTTTAAATTACACATAAAACGTCCAGCCAGAATAAATTAATTGTCTCGCCTTTTTACAAAATCACAAAATGTCTCACTAACGCGAATTATAAGTAAATAAAATGAAGTAGGTACTTATAGGTTATTAATTTTCTCAGATTTGAATCCAAAGCTATCTTGACCAAACAAGATGTCAAAATTTTATCGCTGATAAACGAGGTTTGTTGGTCACGTGTGGGTCAATTCGGCTTCTGTATTGGTAGAGCAAGTTCGATAAAATTTAATAAACACAAAATACCGCTAGAATACAGAAGAAACCGTGAAAATGGTCGATTTTGATTGGTTCTCGAGATCAAGAGTGGAAAAGTCCAATAAAAAAATGCAGGACCGGACTTGGTTTCTGGAAAGAAATATAAAACAATTATAATTTCGAAATCCTCCAGGATTTCGAAAATTGTTTGAAATTCATGTGAATAACCAACCACGTCATCAAAAAAAAAACAGTCTGGAAACAAAAAGTAAAATAATCAGTCCACTAGGTTGGACATATAGTTTTTCCGATTCTTACTGAGGCACAGTGAAATATTTTGTTATTATATATTCAGATTGCTAATTATAGGTTAAAATAATCGATATGTCGATTTATCACATTTTTTCTAGAGCCTCTATAAAATGTTCGGACAGAAACAACATTGAAGTCTTCAGCAACCATTTTACATTAGTTCAAAAATGATTCAACATAAAGAATATGGACCACATATGTTTTCCCAGTAGGTGGTAACACTGAAGATATGTCAAAATATGTATAATATTGCCAACCATAAATGGTTTTTGATAAAACATGGAATATTTCCATTTCTTATATAGAACTACTCATTCCTCCTGGTCCACTGTAGTGGGCAGGGGTGTGAAATGAGAAAGAAAAGAATGTTTACAGACATTTTATTAGTCAATTTCCTTGGAATTTTTTTGATCAAAAAGAATTATTATTGCACCTGAATTATATATAGGAATCATCGGAATATTTATGATTGTTATAGAGTATAGGTACATACATATTCGTCAATTCCAAGGATGGTATTTTGATTATAAATATAAAAAACAATCTATATTGTGGGTTAATTAAATAGTGAGTTAATAAATAAGCAACAATAAGTTACAAAATCCTTCAAGAACTGAAATAATATAAAAAAAATAAAAAAAACTACACAAACAGCTGGGCAAATTGATGAATTAAAATTATGAAGTATCACCTTGGATTCCGAAATGAAAAAAAAAAAGAGTGGGAGATGCTCTCCCCAAATGCCATGCTATTTACATTTACATAATCACAGAGAGCGTTTCGTAATCACTAAGACACATCAATCCTATACAAAATAGCCTTAATTCATAATAAATCTCGCAGGTTTTCACATTATTTTCTATCTAAGACAATAAATAACCCTTGTGAATGTACAAATGTATTCTCATGAACATATTCAACTATACATTCTTGTATTCACCGATTTTCAATGAAAAAGCTGTTATTTGAAAACAAAAAGAATTGCAATGAAATGAAAAGAAAATTTGTGAAAACATGGGACATAATATCAATGTTCACAGCTACATCTATCCCAATAATGATGCAGTTAAATATAAGCTACAGAAAGTAACATGTTCTGTGATGATAGTTTTATAGGTACTATTTTCTCTGTTTAGATTGGTTTAGACTTTCATTCTTGAAAAATGCTTCATTCCTTAATAAAACAGCTGAACACTTTCTATTCAGGAAAGCAAGACGATTAGCAATTATTTGTTTCTGGCAATTGACGGAAGTTTGACATAACATGACGTAGAGTTTGGAATTTGTTTGACAAGTGAAAATTATCAGTTTCTGCAACATTTGTCCTATCGGAATATAATAAATTTCAACATAAACTATAAGGAACTGACATGACATAGGTATATAGAGAATAAGAAGCTTACTGAAAATGTTCTGACTAGCTAGTGATTACAATAAAAAAAAAACTCATTCATGGCAATCCTCAAAAACAAAAGTACTAAACCAAGAATCACGTTTCCTGAAATCAAGAAATGCGTACCAAAACAGAGAAAACTATTTTCAACATAAAAAAAGTGAACATTTCAAATTTTAACACTATGTAATTAAATTTCCTCGTCTTTGAATCGCCTGTAAATGGATTGCACGTAGGTGAAAACACATTTCCAGTCTGGCTTCCGTGTTGCCATCATGTCATCCACGTCAAGTAATGGAAAAATATCAGCCTTGTCACTGAAAAGATAAGGATAATTCTTAAGAAAAGAACTGACGGTTCTAAGACTGATGAGGGTACGGGAGCCGGAATATATGGAGATAGACCCAGAATCAGGATGTGTATGCTTCAGTGTTCCTGGCAGAGGTGCATGCTATTGAGGCATGCCTGAGAGATAAAATTGTAATAGGATACAGAGGTAAACAAATCCTCATATGCTCAGATAGTCAGGCGGCCATTCAATCTTCAACATGCAATAAAATCTGATCAAGACTGGTCTGGGATTGCCTTCAAAGCCTGCTAACCCTGGCTAACCACAACAAGGTAACTCTTCAATGGGTGCCAGGGCAAAAGGGAATTGAAGGCAATGAAGCAGCTGACGCTCTTGATAGGCAAGGGTCTGCAGCGTTGTTTGTGTTCGGTATCCCCAAAACCTCAATACGCGGCTGGCTGGCAAGGTGGATGCAAGAAAGGCATCAGGCATACTGGAACAATGTCCCAGGACGAAGACACAGTAAACTGATGGTTGGAACACTTTCCAAAACAGTGACTATAACGACATTTTGAGCCTGAACAGAAGTCAGATCAGACAAGTGACGGGACTAATAACCGGTCACTGCCCCTTGAGGAAACATATGCATCGAAAGGGCATCTATACAGACGAACCCATATGCAGACTATGCAATGAGGAGGAGGAAACTGCCTTCCATGTAATATTGGAGTGCGAAGCACTAGCGCGTTGGAGATACAACTTTCTGGGAGCAGTAAACTCTCAAGAGGCCTTTCCAACGAATGATTTGGTGAAGAGGCTGCTAAACCTTATCAAGGTATAGCGAACCTGTTCACCTGAGTCAACAGCATGATCAGGAATACAATAGGCCCAAAGGCTGCAGTGTTTTGGGCTTCGAACCCTGACTGATCATTCTGCTATTAATCAATCAATTAATCAATCAAGAGAATATTGGAGAACATTCATGCAGCCAGTCCTCGTATCAGATGAATATTTCCTGATCAAAACTTGCGTACCTGGAGATACAAGATTATCGAACTATCCCACAGGATATTTTATTGATATCCTTCAAGGATCTTCAGAAGATATTTTATGAATAATTGAAGCAAAAATAGAATCCATTTTGATATCAAAATCAATGTTCGAAATCCTTTCTTTAGTTCAGTAGAGTTTTCGAATAAAATTATGATCTTTCGAAAAATAGTAGACAACTCACACTCACTAACTCTTTGATCTCATTAGAATACCGTAAAAAATTCGGCAAACTTCAACTTTTCCATAGATACTCATTCAAGGGAATTGTTCCTCAGAAATCGCTGCTATGGTTTCATCACAAGCAATACTAGTCAGACGAACTCGACAGGCCCAGTCAGCACATCATTTCGTTGTTAACCTTGAAAAATGTCGAACAACACTCTACCAAAACTCGTTCGTCTATAGAACGGTGAAGCTTTTGAAATCTTTGCCTATGGAGATATTCCCCAGAACCTCTAAAAGTTCACAAACATCTCAACACCTACCTCCTCTCCCTACTCGCCCTAAGTACGCACGATGTTTTACCAACATTATAGGAATTTTCTTTCGTGCGCTCCAAGAGACCAAGAAGACCCTACCTAGCAACTACAGAGAGCTATCAACATCGAGCTCATGAAATACCTGGAACATTCAGGTATTATCAACGATAGGCAATATGGCTTCTGACATCAGAGATCAACTGGTGACCTGCTCGCTTACGACTCACATATATGGCAGCAATCCTCTGAAAAATATGGTGAAACCGTAGCCGTGCCACTTGATATCTCCAAGGCATTCGATCGAGTCTGGCACCGCAGACTCTTCGCCAAGCTTCCATCTTATGGCTTGCCTCCCCAGCTATGTTCTCTGCTAGCTAGTTTTCTCTCGAGCAGGTCTCTCCATTTAGTGGTCGACGGAGTTTTATCTGACTCTCCTATCATAAATGCTGGTGTTTCGCAATGATCAATTCTAGCACCAACACTATCTCTACTCCATAACAACGATTTGTTGAAAGCAACTTCATGTCCAGTACACAGCTTCGCGGATGATAGTACCTTCCATACTGCCTTCTCTTCTAGGGCTCCAATACCAGCCAGGCAAATCAGAAACGAACGAGGGAGAAATGTTGACAACATAAATAAGGAGTTTTGGCAACAATTCTCCAATGGGGTTCCAATAACTTGGTAGATTTCATTGCAAACAAAACACAAGCATGCCTTTTCTCAAGAAAAGCCGATCTCACTGTGCCCAACATGAGCTCGTCAGGAGTAACCATCTCTTTGAAGACATCTATTTCGATGCTTGGTATTACTATCAGCAATAACATTTCTTGGGAAAATCACGTAAGATCAATTGATGAAAGTGCATCTAAGGAACTGGGTTTTCTGTTCTGGGCCCGGAGCTATTTCACTTCCATTCAGCTGCTTACGATCTATAAGGCACAGATCCGACCAGTCCTGGAATACTGTTCCCATATTTGGAGTGCCATACCCAAACATACCCTGAAACTGTTGGATTATGTCCAAAAAAGGGCAATTCGTCTCTTGGGTGATGCCTCGCTCACAAGCTCACTCACTTCTTTGGAAAACCTTAGAAAAGTTGGCGATCTGGCTTTATTTTATAGATATTTTCATGGACGATGCTCTTCTGGAATATCAACAATTGTTCCTACCTTGGCAGTCCCCGCGAGATTAACCCGTCGAGTTGAGGCTTTGCACCCCTTTGTAGTCACTTTGGAGACCTGCAGAACATCTCTTTCCAAAGTTTCGTTCATCCAACGAACAGCGAAGCTCTGGAGCACATCGCCAAGGGAGGTATTCCCCGGGGCATATAACCTCCAGAAATTTGAGAAAAACACCAACTCCTACCTTATTTCCCTTGGTTCTCACGATGTTCTCTGAACATTACAGGATATCCCTCTCCGTGGGAACCAGAACATAAAAAAATAGATGAAAAAAGAGGAAGCTCAGCCTCATGCCCATTTGAAGATGTTAAACACTATGTTCATTATACAGGGCAAGGAAAAATTTTGAATTGAGGAAACCCAATCACGAAGTAAATTGAATACTCACCTAGCTACTTTGAAGGCGAGTTCGAAATTGTGTCTTCTGTCCTTTGGCGTTAATGATTGATAGTCGAAAGCTTCAGGTAGGAAATGATGAATCAAGGCACAAAATGCCAAACCATCTGCCCAGCTGCTGGAGAAGTTATCTAGTTGAACGTTCTACAATACAAAATTACAAATTTCAGAAAACAAAAAAAAAAAAATTTCGAATGATTGATTTTGTTATTTTTTGCACTTTCAGCAGTGTGAACATAGGTTCCCCGAAATACGGACTCAAATGAACCGTTGCTATGAGTTGCTTCATTATTTCGAAGGAAACTGACAAAATACAACCAACTGGTACTTGTCATATGTGATGAATAGAAAATTGTTGGTGATGTTTGTAGATTCTTGCTGACAGAAACCGAGGAAAAATCTGACATCATGTGAAAGTGACAAGTGCACTTATTGTTGTTTGACAATATTATTCATCATTATACAAGGTACTTAATTTTTTTGTCTGTTATACATGCAAATATCTGGAAATACAGTTGAAAGGTAAAGAGGAATACAATTGCAACGGCTTCTCATATTGCATAAAATAGTCTACAGCAACTAAAATAAATCCAAATTTTCCATACTAGTGAGATTTTCGAGAGGTCTTACTTTTCCGCACTCCGTGCGGATTCAAATCTTATCCGCACGGCGTGCGGAAAATTGTGACTGCACATGCAAATGTGTGCAGAGAAACACTACTTTGCGCACGCTCGTAGGAAAAACATTGTACCTAACTCTTGCAGAAAAGTACTAATTTCCGCACTTGTTAGGTGAATAACTATTTTCCATCAGTACATGACCAAGGCGACTTCATCCGTGCATTATATAGGAAACGAGACATCACCAGTAACTTCCGATATAACGATTCTGATATTTGAAAAATGCATAGAGTATACATAGGGCGTGAAGCTTATGGTTCAGGAAATACACTATTATGGTTAAGAATGCGTTGAATGACAATTTCTCAGGATGTATTTTCCGGTTTGCTGTTTGATATTATCAGGGACCGCCAGGACATGCAATATACCTACTCATAAACAAATAAACTACAAAACCCTCATGCAATTGCAATAACTGAAAAAGCCAAGCAAAGTTATGTGCAAGGATATCCATCGAGAAGGCCCAGGCAACACAGTTCACGCAGCGCAGGACAGCACATGTTTTTGTAAACAAATCGACCACAATATTTAATATCAAAAATATAATCAGTGTGACTATAGTTTCGGCTCTACGGCCATCTTCAGACACAATTAAAAAGTACCTAGAAAGTAACAAGTAGTACAGGCGTTGAACAAAATGGTAGCTGAGAAAGAGATGACATACCTGTTAAGTGGAAAAACATCTCAACAATAAAAAAATTGTATCAGTAATAATCGGTTCGTTATGATAATGATCAGTCCAGCCTCACAATCAACAAACTTTGTAACGGCTGAAATGCCACAACAAAATTACAATTAGAGTAAGTTCAACATCAGGAAACGGAATTTAATGGAAATTTACTCGAAAGAGCTTCATCTGACTGCAATCAAACCATCAAAGGAAATACACAGAAATGTAAAAATTGGAAGTGTTTATTTGACATTGACAAGACAATATGTACAATTTCAAACACAGAATGAAACATTTTTTTTTTCTGTGACGGGAAAAAAGTTTGGCATTTCATCTCTGTTGGCAGGTTATAAAATGTCACTTTTCATAAATTACTTTTTTCCCGTGGGAAAAAAGTGAGTACTTCTTTCCCGGATATATATCACATATATATACTCTGTTAATGGCTTTTGTTGTGCTATAGTTCCGAAAAATGAGTCAATAATACCGTCTCCGAGAAAGAACTGCAAGTCCTTTTATCTTCCATTCGACTTCGCGGTTTCGTATATCACTAAACAACTACTGAATTCGCAATTTTTTAAAATCAAATCACAGAATTGAACTGACAGAAGTGACATCAGATATTTGATTACTTCAAAAGAATGATAAAGATGCCTATAAAACGCAGGTGTCCCTACTGTTAAAAACTTGAAATTTCACGTCGACAATTTTCAGATTTCGAAATAATGTAATATCTTCTCAATATTGATTCGTCCTTCCTTCTGTCACAGAAAAAAATAGTGTATTGTGCACGAGAAAAATATTAGGTTTTAGCTTTCGGTTTTTTGTCTCCCTCCGCTACGCGTCGGGAGACAACACAACCTGGAGCTAAAATCTACTACTTTTTTCCCTTGTATAATAAACACCTATTTTTAATGACAATCATTCATATGAACAATGGAGCTCGACACCCAAAAGACACTTAATAATGAAAATTCGGAAATTATAGTTTCAATGCATCAACGTAAATTGCGACTTAATGCAGGGCAGAACTATGCCTCGAATGACCTGCGTCATTCAGGCTTCGAGACACAGAGAACTCTCCATGAGAATTTCTTTTCTTCATGTACTCGCTTTTCCAGAAAGACTACTCTCTAGTCAAACTATCTTACATTAATGCCATATTAGTTAGCATCCCTGAATCAGCATCCCATTCTGATGATAAGTACATAAACTCATTCATTACTAACCTACACGTTCAATGCCCAAACAGACGTCATCTACACTGACTTCTCCAAAGCCTTCGACAGACTTGACCACAGAATTTTATTAAACAAACTGAAAGCATTTGGCTTATCTCTCCCTCTCTAGTTAAACTATTCGAATCATACCTCACTAATCGTGAACAATATGTCAAGTTGAACGGCTACAAGTCTGTCGAATATCATGCAACATCTGGCGTACCACAAGGCTCCAATCTGGGACCACAACTTTCCAACATTTTCATTAACGACATTGGTAATGTTATTGACGTAAACTTTTTGCTATATGCGGACGACCTGGAATTATATGGGTGCGAGAAGCACATAGATGATTGTCAATAGCTTGCTGACAACCTGGGTCGAGTGGTAGAATGGTGTCAAAATAACAGATCAGAACTGAATCCTGTCAAATGTAATGTCATGTCCTTTACATTAAAGTCGGACCCAATCGTATTCAATTACTCAATTGGTGACATTTTTCTTCTGAGACCTATAACATTCATCAGAGATCTTAGCGTTATATTTGATCAATCTATATCGTTTAATGATCATATTGACCCAATCCTGAAATCTGCATTCCGAGATAGATGCTCTCAAGAAATTGTACTACTGTTTTATACGTTAGAAGATTGAATATTATGCATCGGTTGTTTGGAGCCCATACTATCGGAACAATACTGATCGTCTTGAAAGTCTGCAACGACGGTTTTTGAAACTGTTAGGTTACAGGTCATGTGGTACATATATACCTTCCAATTGGTACATCTCATGGAGAGCTTCTTGAAACTTTCAAATTTGTAAGCCTGCACGTATGAAGACAATACTTCTCTATCCTAATCCTTCATAATGTTGTTAACAGTCTAATTGACTGTTCAGATTTGTTGGAGAAAATGGATTTTATTATCCCGAGATTATCTTCCAGAAATTGAGATGAATTTTACTTAGAGTTTCCTCGAACCAACATATATAAAAATTCATCTTTGTCTAAGATGTGCAGTACATATGTCATAATTTTTTATCTTTTTTCTCCTTCATTTATGAATAACTAGATAGGCAGCATATTCTTATTTTGTCATATTGTTTCGTCTATCCATTATGCCTATGTAATATGCAATGCATATGTTTTTGTTTTGTCCATTTTTCCTGTTCTGTAAATGGGGCAACCTGTTGAACAGTGTAAGAAATAAATGAATAAATAAATATAAGAAGCAGTTTGCAAAAAGCTGCTTTTCAATGTGCGCTCAGCCACGTGTCTAGTGAAAACCTGTATGCAGTTATCCTATGCTGTGTTGCCAGTGCTGCCCTGCGACACCTGTGTTGCCTGCGTCTCAATGTGCGCCCGGGTTTATTATTGTTAGAAAGCTGCCAACGTGCCAACAAAGCTAACACCAAAACTCCATACCTCGTACTCCTTTGTCTTGACTCGACACCAATACAAGAGGCGATCTTTGATGGTGCTCGCGGATTGGGACAGGGCCGGATCAGTGAATTTAAAGAGGAGGCCGCCGGTCTTTGGGGTGCCGGGAGTACTGCAGACCAAGCCAAGCGGAAAATTAGTCATGGACGAGATGGAAGCAACAAGCAATGGGAGATTTTGGAAATGATTAGGTGGTGACATTAATTCAATAGAACGCGATAGATCGTTACCACCGATAAAACAAGGCCAGCAGACTCTGACGTAACAGCTCGTGACGTCGCATACTCAGGCCATCTTCCAAGGCATTCGCGTCGATCGATCGTCAGTTTGTTTTTGTTTAAGAACGGTGGCGAAGGTAAATCGCGTGTGTGCTCGAATTCTCTTGTTGTTTATTCATCAAAATAATTGGCGGAGAAATTACTGTTTTGTGAAATATTTCGTGTTGTGATAGGCGAAATAACAATGCCTTACAAGTGTTGTGTTTCCTTTTGTCGGGGGAATTATGTGGGTGGTCCAAAAGTTCATGCTTTTAGTTTCCCGTTGGACAAGGAACTATCGAAAAAGTGGGTACATGCAATTCACCGCAAGGATTTTACGACTCCATCTAAGTACAGTAAAGTATGTGAATTACATTTTATTAAAGATGATATTATTACTTCATCTACTGCAACCGATTCAAAAACTGGCAAAACTGTAACAATATATTTGAAAATTCCTAGGCTCAAACGAGATGTTATTCCCACTCAATTTCGATAGATGTAAAATTACGCACAAGTCGTGATATACTAGAGACTAAAAATTTGGCACAAGCACTTACCAAAAGTAAAACTGAATTCGAAAATTACCAAAAATCATTTTGCTACACAGAATTTCAAGAATTTCTAGTTGTATTAGAGTCTTTTCAGTTGCCCGAAAAGTGGTTCAAAATTATCGATTTGCAAAAAGTTACATTATTCAAATTGTCTTATTCTCCAGGGCCCGTAATTACATATTCGGTTGTGATTGATTTTGTTTTGAATGTGGAATCATTTTTGTATGACCTAGCGATACAAACATCTCTGAAAGCCAATCTGAAAATACCTTTTATCTCTAATAATATCAATCGAATCAAGGAATTACTAATTGAAATAGATAAAAACGAGATACATAATTCGGGAAAATGTCTTGATAATCAGAAAAAGAGGGTTTTGAAACATATTTCGAATGCATTGGACTCTTTGGTTTCTGACTCAATACGTTCTCAAATTTCTTTCTGAAAACGGTCATTTGCCTCGTGGCAATGAATGCAGAATTCATTCCAATGATCAAATTGCAACTATTATATTAACATGTACTACAAACACTCTACTTAAAAATTACTGTTTCAAGTCTAACGACCAATTGGGTAAAAAATCCAACAACAGGAAATTGAAAACACTCACTGGCTAATTTTTTAGGTAATAGGAATTCTCCAAGATAAATATAGGTAATTAGGTATAACAAACGGCATGTCTATCAAACTAAAATACATTTTTCCCAATTTTCTTTCGATCAATCTCATGATAAGTTTATGTTCTGCGGGCCCTGTATAAGTAGGTGTGAAGTTTACCTCTAATGAGATTGAATCACTACAATTTTTGCCAATATATTTAATTCGAATGGGTTGCTGTAGGTGGTTTTTGCTTTGGAACTTCGTTTTTCCATAATAAAATCGAATGGGATGCGAAGAAGGGCTCAGTTGACGGCTGGCATCCTCTTTCAACTGGAAGCCCTTCAAAAAAAAGCAAAATCGGCTCAATGATGATCTAAAACTAAAATCGAAATACGCGGTCGCCTTATAGCGCTATAAGCGCTTGTCGTTTCGAGCCGCTGGTTAGGCCTGACTAAGTGACGTTACCCACGGAGCATGCAGGCCTTGTTTTATCGGTGGTAACGGATAGATACGGAATATGTTTTGGATTGACTCGGCCGTTACTTGATGGAAATCTATGGCAAATATAAAAACTTCACAAACGATAAGATTTCCACAAAATTCTCAAACACACGGCATATGTTTCGCTAACACAGTAGCTTCATCAGGTGACATACTGGTACAATGAACTAAACTAACCTTGGCTTGCCTTACTTTTATATATTCTACTTTCCCAACCTGAGGATTAGTTACCTGTGGACAGGTTAGATACACCTACATTTTTGGAAATTAGGCACAATATCTAAATTAAAATACGGTTTACCAGATTAATTTGAAAGGGTAGTAGATGGCAATTACATATATTATTACTTACTGAAAGGAAACAAATTCAACAGTGGTAAACTATTGAGGTCTAGTGTTGGTCGTTAAGTAAGATGTCAGAATTTTTGAATTCGTTGATTTCTAATGATTCAAAATGATTGAGTGTAACTCCTTTATTTTCTACGTGTAGAATTTAGGAATTATCATCAAAACTATTTTGTTATCTTCGAAAAATTCATCTTATGTTCATGAATGCGCTGATTAAACGTACGACCTGTCTGACCAATATATACCTCAGGACAAGATCCACAGTTTAGTTTGTATACCCCTGATTTTTCGAATTTAGAAGTTTTGTCTTTATTATTTTTGATAAACCTTCCCAACGTCTTATTTGTTCTATTACTTGTATATAGAATCAGGTTATGAAATTCTTTGAATAGGTGGAAAAGAAGATGAAGGGGGTTGTGCATTAATGAAGCTAGCTCTGTACGGACACAAATAGGCGTGGTTTATTGAACTTGAAAAATTTCAAGTTGTTCATATTTTTACAAATACACTCTTATATTATGTACAGAGTGGGCCTTTGAAAACGAAACAGAGGCTCTGTAGGTCGCCAAAACCGGATTGTGAAAAGAATCTGAAACACGTCATCTACATTTTCGAGGGGGACATCGTCCTACAATATTTTCAGCCCTGCGGCGTTGCCGCTGCTAACGAAAAGAAGCAACAACTTTGTTATTTCAAATGGAACACCTTGTATTTTATTGCATCTTTAGATCCTCCCCGAAAATCTGATTTCATCAATGCATCACACTTGGGTTCTAGCTGTAATGGTTTCAGGGATATAAAGTGTTCAAAATCGAGATTTTTCAACTTTAACATTTTTTTGTGTCGAAACTAATCATTATTGGTCAAAACGACTCCCATGTCCCTATCTCCACTTGTGATTCACTATCTACTAACATTTAATTGGAACAGATACAGGGTGATCAGGATTCTGAATCTTGAACCACCCTGTATTTGTTTCAAATAAATGTCAGTAGATAGTAAATCACAAGTTGAGATAGGGACATGAGAGCCGTTTTGACCAATAATGAATAGTTTCGACACAAAAAAATTTTAAAGTTGAAAAATCTCGATTTTGAACACTTTATATCCCTGAAACAATTACAGCTACACCCCAAGTGTACTGCATTGATGAATTCAGCTCTTCGTAGAGAATCTGAGAATGCAATAAAATACAAGGTGTTCCATTTGAAATAACAAACTTGTTGCTTCTTTTCTTTAGAAGCGGCAACGCCGCAGGGCTGAAAATATTTTAGAAAGATGTCCCCCTCGAAAATGTAGTTGACCTGTTTCAGTTTTTTTTGATAATCCGGTTTTGGCGACCTACAGAGCCTCTGTTTCGTTTTCAAAGGCCCACTCTGTATATGTGCCAGAATATTTTAATTTCGTGTCACTTTGTCTTATTTCATGTTTTTATTGTTAATGTGATGTCTATAAGAGCACAGGAGAACTAATTTCGGAGTCAGATAGAGATGTGAGTCAATCACAATGAGCGACATGTGTTATATAGTCCGTTCATTTCAAGTTTTGCCTCTCAATTTCACAGTTTTTTTTTCTTAATTTTGCATGCTGATTATTGTTTTTGTTTGCCATCATAAACTTCTTTCAATCGATCGTACATAAAAGGAGTTGAGATTCAATAAAAAATTGGAAATTGAACTCGTATATGGCAATATCGAAATGTGGCATCTAAATTTTCTGAGTTCAATAATTCGAGAGTGGTTACGAAATGTTGAAGGGACATAGGTAAAGAAAATATTCGTATTCCAATTCTACATCACATGATCGCAATTTATAAGGGGTGTACCATGTGGAAAAACGAGAAAATTCAATATCTGTTGACAAACCTGTACAATCATTATGAGTCGTTATAATGGGTCAAAAATATCACAAGGATATATCTATTGAATTACTTGATCAATATATTCATTTTAATAGAAATCTGAGACTGTTGACGAATAATTGCTGGCAAATTATCTTGTATTGTATCATACTATTGATATATTCGACGTACATAATATGTACAAAGTGAATCCAGCTTGCCAGCCTATCAAAATTGGAAAAATACGTTTTTTCTACATGTGTGGTAAAAAAAATGAGCATCAAAATTTTGTACATTTTCTTTGGGAATGTCCATTTATTGTTTACCTTGGAGGGGTGTTGAGGCTATTTTGCCTGTCCATTTGTTGGAATTTGGCAAAAGGTGACATCGGCTTCTTAGCCATTTGCTGCTGATGAATCGTTTTTTTCGTAACTGAAAAATACATCAATAATTATTACGAAAATTCCTCCAGATACAAAATATCCAATTCATTCTGGTCGTAATGGTCATCCATAAGATATTCATCGAGGATTTGTAATGGGTATCCTTCAGGAGAGCCACAAGATATCCAAAAGCAAGAATAAAATTCCTACAAAATTATGAATTTTTGAAAAATACTCGTACAATTTACTGTTCCTGTTCCTGGACTTCAAATGTTTGTAAAATAATCACGAAATATTCATCGATTAACTATTAGAAACGGTCATCCTTCAAAAGATATTTTAGAGAGACAAACATAAAATTCCCAAAGCAAACCTAAATACATATGAATATCAAAATAACTATGTTTAAAATCATAATTTTTGTTCCTTTGAGTTCATATGAAAAACTTTGACAGTCTGATAAGTCCTAGTCTTATCTTAACTATTTCTTCTAGGCTGGAGATGCATATCCATGAGGATATTCATTGTTAGGTTCAAAAAAGATATCCTCCACATGATATCCTGAGAATAGCTATGGAATATCTAAAATTCCAATATCCATACCTTTTTTATTGTCTATATGTATTTTACAAAATTGTGTCTTTTTGGAAAAATTTCTCATCTAGTTTTGTTTCTGGACATCTATTAGATAATCATACATGAGTTTGAATATAGTTTTTCATCAAAATACTTTCTACCAATATAAATTCAATTGGAATTACATCCATAAAATATACCTTTCAAATAACTGACAGTATTTTAATGTATTTCAGTTTTTTGTGAATACAATTCTACTCAAGTTTTATATCCAGAATATTATGGATTTTTTCGGAAGTTTGAATAAATTCAATTTTTGATTCTCCTGGTTTCATTCCTCTGATGTGATAAAACTGTACATGATATTCCTCAATGATATCCCAATGATATCATTGAAATATATCTCATGAATATCTTTAACCCCTGAACAACATCTCATGGATATCCCAAACGGATATCTAATGGATGTCCAGCTTCATCCACTCGGAATATCCACTGGACAACTTTACAGCGAAACAGTTCTATAATTTTTAGCGATAAGAGTTCTATAGTGTTGTTTATATCGATATTATAAAATATCTGTATTGTGAAATGTTTCCACTGATCCTCATAAAATAGTTTCATAGTTAAGAAAAAAGATCTCAATCATGAACTATTTTATACCTCGTTATATAATTAATAACTATTATTCTTAATCGAATAAAATGTATCCAAATGTAAAACACTACACTACGCAAGGGCGTCGCCAGAGAGGGGCAGGGTGGGGCAGCTGCCCCCCCCTACGTTAAACGCTCACCAGTCACCCAGCTATCATTGAAACGACTATTTCGTTCATCACATAATCTGATCAATTACAAGCCAGAGAAAACGTGTGCTTATCGCGAAAACTAGATGTTTTCAACGATGTAACCATGGGTAGCGAAGCGAAGTCTGTCAATTTGGCAAAAAATAATTGACTGTACTTGTCAGAATGAATCATTCATTCAAAATAAATGCTTCTTTGCTTCGTGAACGTGAAATAGTCTCCACTCTGTTCTGAATATATTCTCATAATTCTTCATTTCCTTGTCAAATCTATTGTGTTGCCGTACAGCCCTACCTTTCGTCCTGACTCGTGGTGTTGCTCAGCAACACAATTTCGTGAACAATGAGGCGACAGAATTATCTAGAATATTAAGAATATCGTGATATTACTTATGATAACGCTCACTTTGAGCAAAGAACTTCCGAAAGTATATTTTTCTCCTGAAGTTGAGAAGGCTCTGAAGATCCTTGTTGCCTTTACCTTGTAAGATTTGTACAGTTGAAAGGTCATTTAGTAGCCTTAGGAGAATCAAAACCTGGTTGAGGAGCACCATGTATGATGCTCGACTCAATGGCCTCGCAATGATGAGTATACACAGGCAACATATTTTCAAAAACTTGAACGATTTCGTCAAAAAGTGACCAACGAATTCCCAAAGAACCCTAGAAGATTATTTTTCAACTGATTTACTGTATAGATTTTTTTCTGTTTTTTGATTTTCTCATTAAACTCTTTCTATTTGATTTTTCTCTTCAGTTTTTTTATGGTGCCCTCCCCTATTTTTTCCGCTGGCGACGCCCTTCTACATATAGAAGAAAAAAACACCTTATGACCAAATTTCCAAAATATTGACGACTTCAGAAATACACTCACCGGCAAAAAAAAACGGCCATCAAAAAAAATTGCCAGAATTGTTCAACGTGTAACTTTTTTATTCCTTGCCCGATTCTTATGAAATTTCGATCACATCGTAGATTTATGTTCCGGAATGTTAGCCTGAATATTAGTTTGAGTGAAAAGCTGATGACTCGATCTTTATACAGGGAAAAATCAAAGTCACTATTTCACCCTTCATTTCTTAACGCCCTGTGGCAAAATTGAGTGGTTGAACTTGGTTTCATTATGCTTCGGATTGAAGTGTGATCCTTTCCTAACACAATATTTTTTAAATCACGTCGATACCTTTTAAGGGAAGATACAAGTGTTTTAGGAAAGTATGGCATTTTCAAAATATTAACAATAATCAGAACCTACATAAACTTATTATTTAACAACTTGAAGAATTAATATCACATATTTCTACCCCATTTTCTTAGCACTCACAGAATAGTATATTATGTAACTAGTGTTATAAACGTTCTTTTAGTGACGAGTATTTTAAGCACGAGCGGAGCAGAGCAGAGCGAGTGTTTGATAAACGAGTGTCTAGAATAGTTTATAAACGCGTTACATACTATGCTTTTTCTACGAACTCCGAAAATTACATTAACATACCTGCTATTCCTGCCAACCTACAAAATAATTCGAAAGGAATGGGAATTGAGAACATAATACATGCAACTGCATGCAACCAGCGAGACACGTATAAGTCATATTGGTTGTAGATGTGTCCAGTCCATTGCTTATTACTAACCTTTGTTTCACGTTTATTGGCATGCTTAGCGCAGAATAAATAAATTGTTCTCAAAGATGGATGCTTCATTTTTACACTTCTTGGAGATATGCAAGTACCAAAACATTCTCTTCGATTTCACTTCCGTCTACATTTCGCATATATTCTTGATGAAGAATTCTGAGACAAACGAAAATTGTTTGAATAATTCTGATACAAAATTCGAAAATGACAGTTGACAGTTAATACAATTGACAGGCCAGACATTTCTCAAATCACTGAAGCTGTGTTCAATGAATTGTGTTGCCATGGTAATGTGTTTAAGAAATCGTGTTGCCATAGTAACGTGTTTAATATTTTGATTAAATGACAGATCGACAATCCGTGATTTATCGATCATTTAGCGTGGTACATATCCGTACCTACGCTAAATGCCATTTTAGTTATGTGAGTAGAAAAAAATCTTAATTACAAAAATCAAACAAAAAGCAGAACTGTATATAGTCAATAACGAGTCATTCAAGGAGGCATTCAACCGCCGTGGCATCGAGTTGATCAAATTTCTAAAGTAGTCTTGAAGAATTGCCTGAAAATCTCCTTGAAGAGGGCGAATCGAAGCTCTTGAAGAGTCTCTGACATGGCCGAACTAATAGTCCAGTCGGCAGGTAGTTTTAGCGATGAAAAATTCAGAAGTTAATGAAATTTTAGTATGTTGTTTGTACATGTTTAGTGATGCCAAATCCAAGTTTTCGACCTCGAGGAGGTTGTGGAAAATTTTTGGCGGCCAAAAAACCTCGAAATATTCGGACTTGTTTAAGTTTTTCACCTATAACTCGACAACGGTCAATCCTACGGGAAAAAACACAGTATACTAAATTAAAGAAAACAAAATTTCCTGTCGACTCACGAAATAAAAACTGGAATCGAAGCTGTAATAAAGTTTTCACGAGCGATCAAAGTATGGTGATTATTTCCAATTTTGGTAAAAACTGCCGTCACCCCATTTTCAAAGTGCCGTATCTTTACAAAATTACTTTTTTTTTCAACCTCCCTCCTTAGAGTTTGTAGAGTATCAATCAGAGAGTTCAAAATGCGCTAACACTTTGAAATCAGCTCAATTTCTGAAATTGTTGGGACTGTTTTTAAAAAATTAGCGTTTCTCGAAAATAGCTACCTATTGATTCTATGCTTTTTACTTGGGGTAAATGATCCCAATGACCCATGACCACCTTGTGATTCCGTCTCAATTTTATTGATACCTAGGAAAATAATAATGGTCGACGGAGAACAATGTCATACCCAATAGATAATAAATGTAATTATGTGAAAAAATATATTTACGAAGAATTCATTAGTAGGTATAGCATAAAAACATATACATATCTACACACTATATAATACATAATGTATCTGCATCAGTCTTCATATCGAGTTTTCGAAGGTTCTGTTCTGCGAGAAAAAAGGCAACAATGAAATATTTCATATAAAAAATAAGAACGCTAATGAATAATAATGAATGGAGATACATACATTGATTGAGTCGAGACCCTTTTGGCTGAGGTTCGACGTCGTCGTCCTCAAGTTCGTGCTCCTCTTGGGCGATGAGATCTTCCAGGAGGTCGTCGTCCTCCTCTTCGTCGTCATCATTGAGTTCTGGCACGCGCGAGTTCTCGCAGGCGTGGCCGGAGCAGTGCTTGCAAGTAACTGAGCACCGCAGGCCTGCCTTCTTGCAACTACAGGCCGCGGTGCTGCAGCCTCTGGCACACTTGCAGGCAAGAATCTTCAGGAGAGACTCAGGGGCTGCATTCTTCGTAGTGGTGATAGGTACCACTCCTTGCTTGGTTAGGGACCACCCCCAATCTGCAGGGATCTTGTTGTTTCCTAACCAAGTTTGTACCTGCTGGTATGTACGGAAGGAATGATACCTACCAGCATCACTAGTAGGTGGAAGCCTGGCAAGTTGAAATTTGGCTTTTGACACCGACTTGGTGAATATTTTGTATCGCAGTCCATCAAGGTTTTCTCGCTCGGGGTCTCCTCCATACATTGTCACCAGAAATTTTTCGCCCGCTTCACAAATTTCTGATGCAGTGGCATCTGGTTTGGTGAAAATCAAAACGTTGGGCGTAAGGAAGGAATTCTTCGCGTACGTGCTGCAAACCTTCTTCTTTCCCAAACCAAAGGGTGCGGAAGTAGTGTCGCATCCACTTATGGCATGGAGAAAGAGAATTTCTTCGGAATGGAATTTACACGATGTAGCGGAGTACATGACGCTGGGGACGTTCCCTTTTCCACTTTTCTGGAACCAGATGTTCTTAGCCGAAGACCCTAAGGCTGCTTGGTGAATATACCTACCTACGCTCATATTTTGATGTTTTTTTCTTAAACTGTATGATTTTGAAACAAATAAATCTATCTCTATCTATCTATCTATGTTTGAATGAATGCGAAGTTACGTAATCATAAGCCCCAAAAAATGCAGACAATAAACCTTAAAAAATACAACTATCTCAGGAGATATATACATGAAGAAAACTAAAAGAATGTGACCCATTATTTAGTTATTAACAACTTTATTCAATGGACAGTAATTCAACATAATCATTGGTACTTCTAATGACCTACGTCATACAGAATGACAATATCAAATTGATTTTCTGACGTATATCTCCTAAAATAAGCGGTTTTTTCTTTATTTATTAACTGCATTTTGTTGGACTTCTGTTTACGCAACTTTGCCTCCCTTTGAACTTTGTTTTATCTCTGACGGTTTCCATATCCATATAACAGAATTAGTAACAGCTTGTGTAAGGATAATAAATTCTCAAGATTTATTTCTACCTAAATACAGTATGTTTCACTAAAAAGTTATTCTTCATAAAAAATTTTGCATATTCTATAATCTGAAATACAATCATCAGATATAAAAATTATTCAGTCATATACGCGGTGTGTCAAAAAATGTGAATTGTACCCAAGAGTAAAGTACCTTTATATTTGGCTCACCGTGTATTAGACTGAAAAAAAAATGATATCGGATGATTGTATTTCAGATTTTAGGACATACAGAACTTTTTGAGAGAAATAATTTTTTTTCTGAGATGAATAATAAAAAAGATGCAGCACTTTGAAAATGGGGTTATGGCAGGTTTTACCAAAATTCGAAATAATCACCATATTTCGATCGCTCGTGAAAACTTTATTACTTCTCCGATTTCAGTTTTTTTTTCGTGAGTCAACGGGGAATTTTGTCTCCTTTAATTTAGTATATCATGTTTTTTCCCGTAGGATCGACCGTTGTCGAGTTATAGGTGGAAAACTGAAACAAGTCCGAAAATTTCGAGGTTTTTTGACCGCCAACAATTTTCCACAACCTCCTCGAGGTCGAAAACTTGGATTTGACATCACTTAACATGTACAAATAACATACTTAAATTTCATCAACTTCTGAATTTTTCATCGTGACACCCCTTTTTCACGACCTGCCGACTGGGCTATAAGGCGAATGAGCCTCTGGAGTTCATCCCCAAGATGCTCTATAAGTTCTAAATTATTGTTGATAAAAATATTAAAAATCCAAAAGAAGATATTGACTTGAATATCGAACCATTGTGTAAAGAAGGGACGAAAGAGGATCACACCTCAATTCAAAACATGATAATGCAGAAGGTTAGAGAATGGTTCTGAATTATTGTTAATAAAAATTGAAAAAACCATGCTTCCTTGGAAGACTCGTATCTTTTCTTAAAAAGTGGTTTCTCGACGAGAATCGAAAACCATTGTGTTAGGAAGAGATCACACTTCAATCCAAAACATAATTAAGCTCAGTTCAACCACTCACCTTTGCCACAGGGCGTTAAGAAGTTAATGGTGAAAGAGTCACTTTTGTTTTTCCCTGTATAATAATCAAGCCATCAGATTGTCTCAGTACTATATCCAGGCTAACATTTCAGAACATGTATATACGATTTGGTCGAAATTCTACCGAAATCGGACAAGAATTAAAAAAGTTACAGTGTGAACAATTTGGCAAAATTTTTTGGTGGCCGGTAATTTTTTGCCGGAGAGTGTATTTTCCGAGATACTTTATGCACAAGTGAAAATTTCTGGGAAATGCATACGAACCTTGTGTAGTTGTGGTTGTTATTGGCACCTCTGACACAGTTTTTTTGGTAGTCACAACGGTTTCTGAAAATAAAAACTCAAGTTCAGCGCAAGCGTCGTATACGCAAAATATTTCAAAGGAATGATTCAATAATAAATGTCATTTATCTTTTCGAATCGATAAAATAAATTTCATCTTTGAAGTAAGTACATAACAGTAATGATAAATGGACCATGTGCCGAGTAGGATATAAAAAAAATGAATTGACCGTCCAACATCCGAACATCGAATGTTATTGACCTTCAATTGTTGATTCATTACGGTTAATTTTGTTCCTTGTTATTTATTTGCAGTGCTATTGTGAAAACAAAACGATTTTCGTACAAAATCACTATAGCATTCTTTTATCTCTGATTATATAAGCAAATGGTATATATGAATGTTGATTCAATGGGGTAGAGTCGAGTAATTTTGATGTTGTCTTTTAGACATGATTTTGGAAAATTCTATGAAATTTTATCTCTAGATTTCATGCGATTTTGTTCTTGTCATTTCAATAAATAAAAATAAGATTTTAATCTCAATATACAGTGTGTGCGATTTCAACTCGAGATAACCTCTCCTTATTTGGAATCCGATGACCGATTCACAAAAACAAAAATTCGATAATATTGTACCCAACGAGATCTAATATGGACAAATCTCAATTATTGACATTTTCATTCTCAAGACTAACTTTTGTTTGATAAATGTGAAAAATTTAGAAAAGACTGTCAGGCAATTTATTTCCTGACAAGTTGATTTATCCTATTAGATTCAGAGGCATAGCTGGAATATACTCAACCTCATATAGAACATTAGTTATTCAACAATAAATTTCAGTATATTTCTTTCTTCCATTCACCCTGTATCAAAATCTTTGGTGTTGATATTACCGGTGAAATAGTCATTCAACGGAATAACACATCGAATACTCAGATACGAAATTCTGCTATAGGAAGATCTAAATAAGAAGAACTAAAAATTAATTGAAATTGTGCATATTGTGCCAATTTTGTTTTCGATTCTGGAGCATTCTTGGAGTTTAAATTCTATTCACCTTTTTCAATATGTCATTCTGTATAATGTTACGTATTATATTATAATGTATACGGGAAACGAAAACCATATTTTGATATGGTTTATGTTATGGTCAAAACAAGAATGATAGTACCATTGTTGCCACATTTTCAGTTGATTCTAAAAGCCACACAGGAAATTAGGCAAGTAGCCATGAAAAGTTTCTAAATTTGAAACGATCACTTCGGTTGAAACTGAAAAAAATAAGGAAAAACCGAAAACGACCTTCTGGATAATCTTGTGCTGGTAATATTGAACCATTATATCAAACTATACATATATTTTTTTCCGTATCTCCCCTAGTACTTCATATAAGGAAATCAACATCGAAGGAAGAAGAATCGGCTTGTTTTTGTTTTCATAAATAGCAATCAAAATGCAATCACAAATACCAAGATGATCCAAAACAATGTATGCAAAAACAAAGTCTCGGTATTCTTAGTGTAAACAATAGTCATTTGGGAATCATCAGGTTTGAAAAATGCGATCGGAAAATATGATGCCAAATCTTTGTTCAGGTAAAATATTAGCCAGCCCGAATTTAATGTCTGGACGAATATGCGAAGTCACAGTGACTCATCAATATGTACGACTGTGCAAAACTCCAAACAAACAGTCCCCACAATAGCGAAAATATGGGGAATGTCTTCATCTTAAATGTGAACACACTAAAGACATACATATAGGGTGTTTCAGATTTGAATGTACATACGATAGCTGTAGATAGAGGACACTCTGATGGTTCCAAATCACCCCCCATTGATGTGTCTACCGTCTTTTATAACTGTAATACAGGACGTTATCTTGATTTTGGCAAAATCATCATTTGGTCATAGCTTTTGAACCACTTTGTATGATCTATCCATCACTGAGTGTATATTTACCTCTGTTCAACACATGCGAGTAAGAAGGAAACATATACATTGAATGCATAAACACTCCACCAGTTCGCCCGTCTTGAGGAAAAACAGAAAACTTCTTTCATTTCAGAAACAACAATCTGTTTGGCAAAATTTTGTAGATCTTTTTCGGTATCAGGGAAAAACGAATGAAGTGACCTACCTTTTACGACCGCGCATCCGATTTGACAGATGTTTTAATATCATTTTCTGGTATACTCGAATTTCAAAATCCAATTATTCGACGAAATAATAACAGTCTTCAAAGTTCAACATCATAAGAGTCAAATAGATAGATCTGTTCTGTTTTGGACATTTTTGAGGGCTCATTTTATTCCTCACTATCAATTCATAAGGTGCGGTAAAGTAGGCTGTGCAAATAAATCTGATATTCTGAGAGTTGATAATTACCAGTTTGATATTATTGGCAACGTTGAGATAATTGTTGGTGCTTGTATATTGGGTTGTTACATTTCAAAGTATTTATAATTATGCCTCAACACAATGAAGTTGATGTAACCAATAATATCAGACTGGTGATTATGATCTGTCAGAATTTTAAAATTTTCTGCACAGCCCAGTTCACCGCAGCTTATGAATAAATAGTGACAAGCTATTCTGTCAAACGAACAAATCTATCACCTTAATTGACTCTAATGAAGTTTAACTATGAAGACTATTTTTTTTTGTATCTATGCAAATTGGATTTTGAATTACAGTTCAATGAGAATGCCTTCAAAACATGATGATAAACCAACTCTCAAATTGGATGCGCGCTCGTAATAATTAGGTCACTTTATTAATTTTTTCCTGCTCTTTTCAAATACCAAAACAGATCCACCAAATTTTGCCACACAGAGTGTTGTTTTTGAAATGAAGAAGTTTTCTGTTTTTCCTCAAGACGGCCTGGATTCTGATTTCGAGTTTTATTTAGTTTTGATATTTGAAACTGTCAAAGTGTCTTCTATCTGCAAGTATCGTATGTACATTTCTGTCTGAAACACCCTGTATAACAGCTGATGTTCCATACGGCTTTTATTATTGAATCATTCATTAATGAATAAAACACTAGGTTAATATCAACAACGAGGAAAATTAGTATGTGTCATGAGAAAGCAGTAATGACAAATAATGACAAAGAGGACACTATTTGTAGTAAAACGTGCGTCGAAACAACATCAATTCCTACACGAACATCAATTGTTTAACAACATCCTTTCCGACTGACACACAGCTTCTCGCAACTTTATGAGCAGGTGAGGTGAAAATATGTAGGGGTGGTAGGGGGTTTTGTTAGGGGGTGCGCACACCAACACTTTCTCACCCTCAAAACGGTGTTTCCAACCCCCTCGCGTCTTCCACTGCGATTGGTGTGCGCACCATGTTTCCACACACCAATCAAACACTCCAAAAACTCCAACAGACCATCCAAAATGTCCAACTCGACGAACACAAAAACACTAAACGACACTACGGAACCTGGATACACTTATCGGAATGATTTAGACTTTGGGGTCGGCTAGCCGACCTCAAGAAATGGACATGAACAAGTCCTCGAAAGCCTTATCCACATTGGTCTCGTCCAAAAGTTGCGGAGATACCATGTCAGGTAAGGTTCTGCTTCTGGCCAAGTTATTAGAGGATCGCTGCTGAGTGGAGACCTTCTCAGAAGTTTTCACTCTATTGATGCTCCTCTTGCTAGATTTACCCACACTGGCATCCACATTTTCCGGGGACTTGCTACCGGAAAAATAAGCCTCCACTGTCAATTTCTTCCTTGATAATTCCTCCCTAGTTAGCCCAGCTTCAAACTGTTTTTGAGGTACTGCCAGGCTATGGCTCGACTTGGACCTCATGACATTCTTGGGAGCCTGAGCTAGCTCAGGCGAAGCCTGATTCGCCAGGCATATCTGATGCCAAGAATCCGATTTGCTCAAAGTGGAGAGCTGTGCTTGTGGTCTGAAACCTGCTACATTAATTGAAGGCACACGATCACTCTCCCTTCTGTTGATGTTATTGTAAATCGTGGTAGGCTTTTGCTGCATAGGCTTGACGATGCCACAAGTTTTCTGGAAGCCTAGAGGCTTGGTTTCCTCGAGCAGGCATTGTTTCCTCTCAAAGCTGGCTAACTTTTCAGCAAAAACCTTTTCTTCTGGTTCTGGTTTATCTTTGGCCTGATCCGATCTGCTGACGTTCTGGAGAACGTTCTTCAAATCGAACGCAGCCCTCATGTCATGCTCATTGCGACTCATTGGTTTCTTTTGCTGTACGGTAACGGCCTGCTGGCTCACCGGTCCTGACATCACTCTGCTGGATATAGCGGTGTACTCGTGAAGGCTCTCGTTGGACATCTGCGTCTGGAGTTTGGGAGGGGAAATAACCGGTTCAGTTGTTTTCGGAGGCTCTAACGGAGTGAATTTCAGCGTTGAGGTGTACACGTTTTCAAGCTCGTGGTTATGAGTTTCCTTGCCAGGTACGTGTTGATAGATTTGAAGCGGTTGATCTTGGTTGGTAGTACAAACCACAGGCTGAATGGTTTTTATTTCTTGTGAAATCTTATATTTGTCTCCACTTGTTCTGGGGTGTTGATCGAATGAAGGTTTGTGATAGTGATATGGTGCCTGATTTGTTACTGCTGCTCCTGGATTCAGGTGCAAAGAGTTCCTGAATTGGTTTGATGGTTTCTTGTAAACTGGCGTTATAGTATTAGCGATATTCTCAACTTTGGTATCATACTCTTTGCTCAATTTTCTGATGAAGCTATTCGAGCTTGGTGTGCTTTTGGTTACATAAGGTGCTGTCATTTTCTCAGGCTGCAATTGTTGCGGATAAAAAACGTCACTGAATTCTTTGCTGACTCTCCTAGGTCTAACAACGCTTTCATGCTGTTGTGTAGCCTCGAATTTGTTTGCTACCATATTCAAAACTCTACCACCGTGGTCGGTGGAATTTGTGACCCATGGTTTGGGATTCACAGGAGATGTAGCCTCGGAAGTGTGATAACTTAACAGAGGTTTGGGACTGTACAAGAACAAGGATGTTTTGTCTTCTTTTATCTCTTGCTTCAAGATCGCGTTATTGGGTTTTATTTTCACAGGTTCCGGATCGACTTGCGGTTTCTTAGATATTGGTCTGAAAGCTGACTGTGGGGCATGCGAAAACTGATTCAGAGGCAACGGCTGAGGCACGAATTTTTTCACTGCAATAGGCCTGGATACAGTGGATCCACTCGCTTTATTCTCGCTCATGTTGGAAGTTTGAAGTTGACTTTGTCGCTGCTTCTCTTCAAACATTTGCTGTAGATTTCTAGCACTCTTCTTGCTTATGGTTGGGCCGTACTGTTTCCCATTGCTCAAAGACACTGTGTCGTCTTGAGTTTTCCAGAAATTCATCGCACTGTTGCCTTTGACAGTAGGCCTCTCGAAGTTTTTCCTTATATTCCCAAACTTATTGTTCCACACCGTGGTGTTATTTTGCCCAGACCATGTTTTTCTCTCTTCGTCACTCTTATCGCTGTTCTTGCCTATAAGCGCCAAAAACTTTTGATCTGAGTGAGTTTTGGGCTCAAAAACAGGCACATTTTGTTTGTTCGCAGGGTTGCCAACTCTTATGGGTCCCCGCAAAGCGTAGTACTCGTTCTTGCGTTTCTGAGCCTCGGTTTCACTCTCGGAATTATCCGAATCGTCTTCATCCTCGTAGAAATTCAAAGGCTTCGGTATATCGATGGTGTTGGCTCTTTTCATCCTCAGCTTCTTGGAGCGAGTGTTGAATCTATCGATTTTTTGTGTGTCTGGAAGGTTGAAAGTGATTGTTTCTTTGGGTTTGGTGTAGATGGGGTTAACTTGTAAGGACGCGAAAACTACCTCAGCTTCATCATTAGCTAAGGCGTTTATGACAGTGTCTGCGTCTTCTTCGTTGTCTGACGCTACTTTATCCGGTGTGGTTTCAACTTCTTCGGTGAAGAACGAGTCTGAAGGGTCAGTAGGAGTTTGAACGGAAGAAGAAACATTGCTGGAGTTGTTGTTGAAAGGTTTGGGAGTGGCGTTCTTGATTACAGTTTTGCCTCCGTATTTGTTGAAAGGAGAGGTGCTGCTAACGCTGCTTTCGGAATTCTGTTTCTGTAAAAGCAGTGCGCTGCTGGGTTCACGACAAGAAATTTCCTCCATCAACCGACGAGCGTTAGCTAATTCTTCGCTGCTAACGCCCACAGTGTGCCTTGACCTCCTGTTCCTTCTTTTGTTGAATCTGGCAGAGCCAGCTGAGAGCTGTCGCTCTAAGTTAGGAGCGGTTGAGGATAAGCCGGCTTGTAGTTTATTAACAAGCTCCAGCAGGGAACTTCGTCTTTCTGGGGTTATGTCAGTAGCGCCGGTAATGAGACTAGCTGAGAGTTTGTCGAGGGCATTTTGGACCTCGGCAATGAGGCCGTGACGCTGATCTTCACCGGATTCAGTACCCGAATCGCAGATTTGGTCTTTTTCTGGCGTGTCGAGTAAGCCCTGTAGGAGAGGAAGAAGAAGGGACTCACCGTCTATGGTTCCGGAAGGTCGGTCCTGGCTGGCCTTTTCTACCAGTTCGGTGCAAGCTGTGGATTCAAATAACGATATTAGGTAGAACACAATACATGAAAATGAGTAGGAATACTCATCGGGAAAAAAACAGACAAGGAAAAAAGGTATCCGAATTGATCATCCTCGAACTTTTTTAATTATTGTCCGATTCGGCTCCATTTTGTTCTGGAATGGAATGTGGTTGGTCCCCTTCAAGAAAAAGGAGAGACATCTTTTCACTTTCTATGAGGATGTGAAGCGTTCAGCAGACTAAGATTCAACATCTTTGGAACTGAAACGCTTCAGAGAGAAGAAATGAACTCTCTTGAGTGGGCGGACACCCTAGCTTTCATCAGGAGGTCTATAGAAGGTTCGCCGAAGTAGCCGAGTAACATAGGTAACTACCACTACTATTACACGTGTTTTAGGTATGGAATTTTCTCAATTTTATTAACAATAATTCAGACTCTATTCGTATTCCTCTTCGTCCGGCCTTACCAGAGACTCTTCAAGAGCTACGATTCGCCCTGCAAGAACTTGAGGCGATTTCTCAAGACTGGTCAAGAGATTTGATCAACCCGATGTCACGGCGGTTGAATGCTGTAATTCAAACTCGAGGAGCTAGGGCATTGTTTTTGTGTTTAAGATTCTCGCATTTAGGTGTGTTTTGGATTTTTTCTGATAAGTTCATGATTAGGTTGTGAATTTCATACTATCTTAAGAAAATATATTATCATCAGCATTTCTTGAGAACTATTCAGACGTTCACTCCGAAACATGCATCTACGATTTGGTCGAAATATCACCATAATCGGACGAGAATTGGAAATGTTACAGGGCGATCAAGTTAGATGTAAAAAAATGCTAGTGTAGCTTATGAAAATAGTTTTTGACATAATGGACCGAAAAACAGGGCACTGAGATGTGAGTAGGTGATTATCATGAAATGAACTTTTCGTTACTTCGTTTCAATATGGTGACTTCTTGTTTTCCGTTCTTCTTTCTTCAAATAAGATTGTAGCAATTTACCATATTTTCACGTACTAGATGTTTTGTTCTTTGAAGTTGGCTACGAAGTGTCAACAGAGATGACCTTGTTTCATCTAGTCAAGATGCGAATATTCAAAGATTTTCCTCTTATTATCTGATTCTTCAGTTATGTGTGGTATTCTCTGTTATCTGCAGTAAGTATTCAGTTCAAAAAGAGTCTAGGACGAGCACCTATGGGGAGTCGAACATATTTTGATTGAAATGACAATCGAAATATTCTTACAGAAAAAGACAATAGATACGTAAGTCGAATTTTTTCGGATGATTACGCCACGCGTTCTCCCGCGTTTTTCATGTTTCAAAATAACGTGAATTTCAATGATTATTATAAAAATATACAGAGCTCTGAGGACAAAACGGTTCGCGACAGTAAACTAGTTAGGGTTAGTTTTTCGAAATAATGAAATACATTTTCTCACTGGAACAGGCCCATTGATGCCAACAATATGTTTAGCCCATTCCAAGTGAAATATGGCAAATTATTTCATCAATAGTGATCAGCGACAATTGAATTTCTACTCGAAGGAACAGTGAAAGAAGCATGGACTATAGTAAAAAGTGTGATTTTACCTTCCTGTTCAGCCATTATTTGCCGTAATCTTGTCCTTATGATGCGTCTTTCTTCGTATCCAGTACTTTGTTCGAGCTACACAGGGAAATAGAAAGTGAGACATTTTATTTGCAATTCCGTGAAAAGACTAAAAGATTAAACTCACTAATAGACGAAGAGTCTGTTCGTCCCAAATGTTTTCCAATTCAGTTTCGGTTACCGGCCGTTGGAATACAAGTGTTTTTGTAGTTGGGATTCCGTTTTCCTGAAAAAGAATTGACTCCATGTATTAAATTAATCGAAAACAAATATGCCGGCAGATAAAATAGCAGAAAGCTTCCAATCATAAAGATATACATAGATGAAAAATACGGAATAGAATTGAAGAACATTTTTAGATAATCCAGTAGACTTGGTAGACACATACAGTGTCATTCATAAAGTCGGCATCATATGGGAAAAACTTTTATTAATGACTTGTTTTGGAATTCGAGTTGGACGTTGAGTTTTGCTTCAAAGAAGATGCAAAACGGCCTACTCAATCGGGGTCACGTGACTTTCGCTACATGTCAAAAGTGACATTTTTTCAAATTAATCGCTGAAAGTAGGCTTATTTGTTCGAATATCGAAAAAGTTTAATTCAAAAAGTTGTTTCTTTTCCAATTTTACACATGCTCCTCGAATTTGATATTTCTATTGCAACTTTTAGATTTTGTTTTTTTTTTTGATTTTTCGAAATTTCTGTAATATTTGAAGAAAGGGTTATTTCATGAAACTACTTCATACCAGTAGCTTTTTCATGCTATTTACTTTCAATTACTTATCATCACTGATTATGGACAGAAATGTGATTTTCTTCAGATAATGATAATACCCGCTTCCAAATTCTGTTATGTTTGATGCAAAATTGATATATCGTCAAGCATTTAGAAACGAAATTCATTTAAACTGATATTTTCAGTACTGAAAAAATGAATTTAAATGAATTTCGTTTCTAAATGCTTGACTCAAACATAACAGAATTTTGATGTTATGTTTGCACATAACAGAATTTTGAAGCGGAGATTATCATTTTCTGAAGAAAATCATATTTTTGTCGATAATTAGTGATGATTAGTAATTGAAAGTAAGTAGCATGATAAAGCTACTGGTATGAAGTAGTTTTATGGAATTTACAATTTTTTTGATATTACAGAAATTTCGAAAATTTTTAAAAAATATCGAAATCTAAAAAATGTGATAAGAAGATAAAATCCGAGTCACATATGTAAAATTTGAATGGAAACAACTTTTTCAAGTGGAATTTTTCGATATTCGAACAAATAAGCCTACTTTCAGCGATTAATTTGAAAAAATGTCACTTTTGACATGTAGCGAAAGTCACGTGACCCCGATTGAGTAGGCCATTTTTCATCTTGTTTGAAGCAAAACTCAACGTCCAACTCGAATTTCAAAAAAGTCATTAATAAAAGTTTTTCCCATATGATGCCGACTTTATGAATGACACTGTATATGTGCAGGGTGTTTTCAAATTCAGTATCGAGATTTCAGAGGTTTATTTCACTTATTTCACAGATCAAAGTGACTTTTTTCCTCATAAACACAAACTCTTTATTACCGATCCACAGAGCGTAGAACTTCAACATTTATGTTTTTCGTCTTTACAGCTCTTTTAGTTTTCGAGATATTCAGATCAAATTTATAACATGGGTTGAGTTTTGAGGTTCATATCATACAGTATGTCGAATGATTGTAAAAATCCACAGGGAGATATTTTTTCAGTGGTCAAGCTCTTTTTTCGCTCCATAATTGTTTTGTGGTGCGCCACTGTTATATTTCATAATAAAAAATTAGTGTCTTGTTTTATTCATAAACTCTTTTGTCTCTTGTAATTTTCTCGCATCTGCGACCGTAATCGAGAAAAAAATAATTTTCTGTAATTTCCTAGATTTAATGAATATTTTTGACGAAAGGAGGAAACTCTCTTTATATCGGTAACGAAGGGTCTGCGGACACAATCATATTCATAAAATGAAACGTTCTAATTTTGACCTGAGAAATGAGTGCCTGTATATATATATATCTCTTTATTTAGTTGAAAAACTAATTCATTCACAATAGTAAATACATTCACATATAAATAAACTTAGATTAACATGAAAAAATACAATCAGTCTGAATAAAAAATACATACGTGTAAATAAAAACTACTAAAAAAATAATAATTATATACTAATTTTTCATTAAATAATCCTTCAATCGTCTTTTGAATGTATTTATCGAACCACTCTCTTTAATTTCTAGTGGGAGGTCATTAAAACAATCTACTCCTTTATAAAATAAGGAATTATGTGTACTATTTTTTTAATATTTTTCAACTTTTATATTGTTTCTGTTTCTTGTATTATACTCATGTATTTCAGCCACATATGATAATTTATTCTGTAGATATACAGGTGAATATGCAATTTTGATTTTAAAAATGAAAATAAGTGTTTGATACTCGAAGAGTTTTCTCACTGGTAGCCATTGTAGGGTTTGCAACATATTTGCTATCGGTGTTATCCTTGAACATTGTAAGATTATTTGCATAGCACGATTCTGCATCTTTTGTAGTCTGTTTATTTCATTCTGGTTGAGAAAAAACAGAAGGGTGGAACAGTAATTTAAATGTGGAAGGATTATGGAGTTGTATACTAATAGTTTAGACCACTGGCTTAGATATGGGGAACATCTTCTTAAATAATTGACTTTGTAAGCTACTGTTTTGATGACCTGATTAGCATGTTCCTTGAATTTCAATTCATTGTCAATGGTAACACCCAAGTACACGAATTTGTTCACCTTTTCTATATCACTGTCATTCAATCTTAGAAGTAGATTTTCATTATTATGATCTTTATGTTTTCCTAATAACATCCATTTTGTTTTATTTACGTTCACCTTCAGCAGATTTGCACAGCAATATCTATTCACCCTTTCAAGACCAGCGTTCATAGTATCAACACACTCATGCACATCATCACTACTAAAGTACAGTAGGGTGCTCGGTAGGGTGTCGTCGGCAAATAAGTGAATTTTACATTTTTCTGCTATGGTTACGATATCATTTAAATATATTAGGAATAACAATGGTCCCAATATAGACCCTTGGGGTACACCAATATCATTTTGCATTTTATCTGAATATACTTCATCTAGTTTCAACCTTTGCTTTCTATTGCTCAAATAATTCATGATCCAGTTTAGTGCTATTCCATCAATACCTACGCTTTCAATCTTTCTAATCAGTCTGCCTCTATCTACAGTTTCGAATGCCCTTTGCAGGTCAAGAAATACTGCAATAGTAAACTGATTTTTTTCCGCACTTTTCCTCCAATCTGTTAAAACACATTGTAACGCCGTTTCACAACTATGTTTGCTCCGAAAACCTGATTGATATTCACATAGGACCCTATTACTCTCCAAATAATCCACTATCTGCTCATATACAGCCTTTTCCAATACTTTAGCAGTAGCATTAATCATGTTTATTGGCCTTAATTGAATAGCTTGGTTTGTATTTGGCACTTTTGGTATAGGTATAATAGTGGATAATTTTAATTCAGTTGGTACCTCACCTCTCTCTAAAGAACTGTTGATAATGTTCAACAATGGATTACAAATGGCATTGAAACACTTTTTCAGAAATTCTACACAAATCTCATCGGGACTATTTTTATTTTTCAAAGCACCAATAATTCTTTCTAGATCTACCTCATTGATGAGATTGAAGTTTGACAATTTATTATGAGTTATTCTTTCAGTTATAGGAAAGCTATGAGAAAAATGTTTGTCAATTCCATCAGTTATATTTATTATACTTTTGATATATTTTTTGTAATTGGATATATTGGATTGATCAAGTCAAAAGGAACATTTTCATACTTGATGATTGATGATTTTTTTATCTCTTGGAGAGCACGAAGAGATATCCCTATACTGTTCCAGGAACATCCTGCGTACCAAGGAAGGATATAGGGAGAGAAGGTAGGTTTTTTAATTTTTTGGGGATTGGACTTAGGTATACGTTATCATGGCAGCGAATTTATATTGATTAGGCAGGTCCACATTATGGTTTATATTTTCTTGTGATTGTTGATGCTCTTATTCCAAGAATCAGACAGAGATTCTGATCTATCCCTGTATAGTACTTCGAAACAACACATTTTTTTCATCAATTGCATGTTTTTGGTGCCATTATTATCTTGATTTATTTTCAATCTTTCGCAGTGAATAAATTATAGATATACCGAATGAAGATCAACCTGATTTATGATACACAAAAAATCAGATTCTTGTAATAATAACTCAAGTCAAGTCAAACGATTTATTTTCAGATCATTTTCCATACATCTAATGCAAAAAAATAAGTACTCTACTATTAGTTGGCTGACAGATACGAAGTCTGGTTTTCATATAAATTTAGAAACTGCGTAGCGATTGAGATGTGAACGTAAAAGTCGATGTTTCCAAATAAAGTAAGTACAGCAGTAAATAAACGAAACTGGCAGTTGTACAAAAATCGTAAAAGACGTCATTATTCATTTAGATTCTCGGAAATTTCAATATGGATTTAATGGCCAAAAGGATGAAGATGCGATTTTCTCATGCTATGTCTCATATATCTCCATCCTTCTTCAACGTTTAATGGGTGAAAAATACGTTACTCGTTGAATTTTCAAAGTTGTCAATTTGGTTATGATAATATCGTTATATAAACACGTTTCAAAAACATCTACTTAACGTTATCATCTATCGAGCCCTTGATAAATTTGTTAAAAATACGTAGTTTTCAACAGTGAAATAGCTTTTGAATCAGAAGAACGTTATTTCCCGTAACGTTTCAACCAAATTCAACGTTTGGTTATCCAACAAATTCTCGATGTTCTACAGGGGGTCTCAAAATAATAGGGCAATATTCCATCAGCTTAATGTGAGTAACAAAATTTGTCAGAAATTGCAAACGAATTGAAAATCACAGCATTTCATTTTTATGCTTGATGAAGTCGAGGGCGAGCGAAAATATAATCTTGATGGAGATGAAATGAAATTAATTTTCCTACAAAGAAAATAGAGTGGCAAGGATTTAATATTAGGACTTTTCGAGTGTCAATATTGATCGGAATCTATTTCTATACGCCATTTATGTGAACCAATCAAGAGGTCAAACTAAACTGATTTACCACTAACCAAACCGATTTTTCAAACGCCTCGACACCTGTT